ACTTAGCTTCTCTAAACTTAAGGGAAGTATATACCCCTTCTTTTCACTGAAACTGAATTACAAAGTAAAATCTACCCATTAAGAAGATAAACTAAGATTGATTGATTTATTTTGAGGCAGGGTCTTACTTTATTGCCCAGGCTAGAGTGCAGTAGTGTGATCTCAGCTAACTGCAGTCTTAACCTCCCTGGCTCAAATTAATCCTCCTACCTTAGCCTCCTTAGTAGCTGGGACTAGAGGCATGTGCCACCACGCCCAGCTAATTTTTAATTTTTTTTTTAAGATATGAGGTCTGCTCTGTCACAAGCTGGTCTTGAACTCCTGGCTCAAGCAATCCTTCTGCCTTAGCCTCAGAGACTGCTGGGGTTAAAGGTGTGAGTCACCATGCCCAGCCAAAACCAAGGTTTTAATTTTGTATCCTTCTTCACAAAGTTAGTCTGTTTTTATTTCTTTTAATGCATTATTCAAGTTATTAATGCTAGTGTTATTCCTGACCAAATAATGTTTAAAACTACTCTGAAACTTTTTTTTTTTTTTTTTTTTTTTTGAGGGGGGGTTTTCCTTTTTTTTCCCCTGGCTGGGGTCGAGGGGCGATCTCGCGCCACCCCAACCTCCGCCTCCTGGGTTCAGGCAATTCTCCTGCCTCAGCCTCCTGAGTAGCTGGGATTACAGGCACGCGCCACCATGCCCAGCTAATTTTTGTATTTTTAGTAGAGACGGGGTTTCACCATGTTGACCAGGATGGTCTCGATCTCTTGACCTCGTGATCCACCCGCCTCGGCCTCCCAAAGTGCTGGGATAACAGGCTTGAGCCACCGCGCCCGGCCTACTTTGAAACTTTTTAATGCTAGAGTATTGTATCATATGTATTTTGTGTTTCCATAGTTTTACAAAGGAAGAGCAAATACTCAAGAGAAAATTATAAAGAGAGTTCAAAGACTTATTAAAAAGATGTCAAATGCTTATTAATTTTTCCCTCTTATCTCCCTCATGCGATTCTTAAGAAAGCAGAATTTTTGCCTGGGTGCAGTGACTCACACCTGTACTCCCAGCAGTTTTGGAGGCTGAGGCTGGAGGATTGCTTGAGCCCAGGAGTTTGAGATCAGCCTGGGCAACATAGACCTCATCTCTACAAATAAAAAAAAAAATTAGCCGGGCATGGTGACACACATCTGTGGTCCCAGCTACTTGGTACGCTGAGGTGGGAGAATTGCTTGAGTCCAGGTGGTTGAGGCTGCAGTGAGTCATGATCACATCACTGCACTCTAACCTGGGCAACAGAGAGAGACCCTGTTTCAAAAAACAGACAAAAACGTGGAACGTAAAGCCTAGACTAACTGCACTTTTCTCAGGTATATATTGCTTACAAATTCTACTGTACTTAGAATCTTCAGGCTAACTTACTTTCAGAAAAAAAATGTTCAACTGAGGCTTGGTTCAACCAACATTATTATAATGGTTTCTTTTACCTTTGAGAATAGCATATGGAAATAAGAGATTACAGTTGTGAGCCACTGTGCCCGGCTACAACCTTCAATTATTTAGATAGTTGTTATATTCATACATAGCCTTCCTAAGGCTGCTATATCTTTAAGTTTTCTAAGCCTTAACATTCGATGGTTTATGTAATATGTATCCTAAGTGAGTTTCTCTGAGTCCCTTGTGCAAGGGACTATGTCTTTTGTAGTATAAATTGCTTAGGCACATAAATGGTAAGTTTGGCTAAATTTCTTCTCATTGACTCCACACATTCATTAATTGTTACACTCTAGTTTTGGTATTTTATTTTTTGGGACAGAGTCTGGCTCTGTTGCCCAGGCTGGAGTTCAGTGGTGTGATCTCAGCTCACTGTAACCTTCACTTCCCAGGTTCTCCTGCCTCAGCCTCCCGAGTAGCTGGGATTAACAGGTGCCCACCACCACACCCAGCTAATTTTTTTTTTCAGTAGTGATGGGGTTTCACCATGTTGGCCAGGTGGGTCTTAAACTCCTGACCTCAAGTGATACAACCACCTTGGCCTCCCAAAGTGCTGGGATACAACAGGCTTGAGCCACCATGCCTGGCCTAGTTCTGGTATTCTGTGTTTGAAGATGCCAATGTAATCTAACAATATTTAAATATTAATTCCTGTAGTAATATTTAGATATTAATAATTGAGTCACAGCATATTGGGTTTCCCAAAAATATACATTAGATATGTTAAGTTTTTAAATGATTACAAAGGGCAATTAAAAAAAATGAAGACAGCTTTCAAGAGAGTGGGAGAAAAGGTTGGAAGTTCCATACCAATCTGTAGGGTGAAGGTACTGTACTGACTTAATGAGGGCTATTTGAGATCCAGCCTAGATCTGAGAGCACTGTCATAGCTCATATTAAGAATATGGATTCCTGGCCGGGTGTGGTGGTTCATGCCTATAATCCCAGTACCTTGGGAGGCTGAGGTCTCAGGACTTCAAGACCAACCTGGGCAACATAGTAAGACTCCGTCTCTACCAAAGATATAAAAATTAGCTGGGCGTGGTGGTTCATGCCTATAATTCCAGCACTTTGGGAGGCTAAGGTGAGCAGATTGCTTGAGCTCAGGAGTTCAAGACCAGCTTGGGCTTTCTAAGTGAGATTCTGTCTCTACAAAAAATACAAAAATTACCGGGCGTGGTGGTGCAATACACACCTATAGTCCCAGCTATTTGGTAGGCTGAGGTTGAAGGATCACTTAAGCCTAGGAGGTAGAGGCTGCAGTGAGCCCAGTTCACACCACTGCACTCTAGCCTGGTTGACAGAGTGAGACCCTTCTAAAAAGAAAAAAGAAAAGAGAATATGGATTCCTCACAAAAATCACAAAAGTGTAGTTAAACTCACATACATAATTTTAGGTGGGGTTTGTACTATCCATCTTTAGAGATCTCAAAGCAATGAGTATGTTGAAAATAATAGAATTATAGAGGACGTGATGAATTAGGAGTCAAGCCAGTTATTTATACACCTATACAAAAGTGCCTGTAGTTTTAAAAAAGGCTATAGGAAGAGACGATGTAAACAAATGCTGCTTATAATTCATTTTTCTTCAGGCAGTGGGTAAAATGAGTGATGCATAGGAATTTGCATTTCTACATTGGCTTACGCTATCACATTTAATCGTAACTATTGATTTTCTCAATAAAACATTTCTTTCTATAGAACATTTATTTACCATAATCATGTTTTAATTTTTTGAGGCATTCTAGTCTATCATAGTTTGAGAAATGTTGTTGCTCATTGAGCTCATTTTATTTACTATATTAATTCAAAGTTTTATGATATTTAAACCTGTTTGGCAGTTGAAATACCAAGCTCTATTTCATCAGGGTAACATGTTTACCGTTTGTCATTTTCAGCCAGGTTCTTAAAGGAACAATTAGTGGAGGAGCTCAAATTCCATTTGAATTGTTCATGTGTATATACTCCCACATGCATTCATGTCAATGGCAGAAGTGGAAATGTATTAAACAGTATCTACTCATTTGAGCTTGAAGTGATTTCCTAAAGGTTTTGCTGAAGTGATTGCCTATGGTGAATCAATTTAATCCTGTCTCATTAATATAGGAAACCAATACACTTGGTGTTTCTTTTAAGTGACCAAAGTTTATTTTCTCTCTGCCCCAGTTAAGGTGGACAACAGTTCAATTTTGGTGACCATAAAGAGGTTATGATGACCAATAAAATTAGATCCTGCAGTGGCAAATATATTCACTGCTATGGAAAAGAAAAATTTAGGAGTTACTGTCGAGCATTCTCCTTGCAAGCAGACCTATTTAAGACAGGAAAACCAAATGAAGATTTTTACTCATTTTTGTCTGAATGCCCAACAGCATTTCTCTGAATATTTAACTGCATAACGATAGGGTTCTTTTTTCTTCTTTTTTTGAGATGGAGTCTCACTCTGTCGCCCAGGCTGGAGTGCAAATGGTGCAATCTCAGCTCACTGCAACCTCCACCTCCTGGGTTAAAGCGATTCTTCTGCTTCTGCCTCAGCCTCCCGAGTAGCTGGGACTACAGGTGTGCGCCACCACGCCCAGCTAATTTTTGTACTTTTAGTAGAGACGGGGTTTCACCATGTTGGCCAGGATGGTCTAGATCTCCTGACCTCGTGATCCGCCCGCCTCGGCCTCCCAAAGTGCTGGGATTACAGTCTTGAGCCACCGTGCTCGGCCGAAAATTTATTTTTGAGTTTTGAGTGGAGGATTGGACAGTCTTCTTCTTTCCCAAACTTGATTATGGGCTTCCTTTAACTTTTTTCTTTGCTGTCTGTCTTGTCTTTTTCTTTACCCGAGGCGCAGTCTCAAGAGGTCCTGAGAACATGTGCCCTGCTCTCTGTTTTAAGGATTAAAATAACTCTTGCCGACTTACATTGAATCTTTTTTGCCTCTTCCATTTGGCTATGTTAATTCCAGATCTTACACAAACATCTGCAGCTCTTACAAAATTTTTCTAACCATTCGGGTTCATGGGCTGTCACAGGAGAACGAAGTGCATGGAAAAGCTTTCACAACATTGAAGGAAATTTTAAAAATCTGGTTGAAACACAATTAAAAATCCACAAGAGGGAAATGCTTGCTAAACCGTCAGAAAAAAATTCCTTTGAAGGACCTGAGAGAGGAGCCTTAGGAGCAGCCACTGGGTCAGCCACGGGATTGAGGGCGGGAGGGAGCAGGTGTATATAGATGTGGGGGGCTTGGTGGAGGAGTACAGTTGAAGGGAAAAGCGGAATGGGTTTCGTGCCTTTGGCAGCGAAGTGTGTACTCGGTCTCAGATCTTGAGCAGAAGGTAAGAGAATGTTGCCAAAGGAGAGCTCAGTGCTCCCGATATATCTCCTGGTAGTCCCAGAAGAAATGGGGGTGGGTGGCTTTGAAGGCACTTCCGCTTAGCAACCCCACGCGGTTGCTAAGGAGGGGCAGCCGTGGGGATAACCCGGAAGTGGTGGTGTCAGTTTATCGCTGCCAGCTCTAGGTTTGTCCTATAAGACGCGCCAGGGTACTCTGCGGCTCCGGGAGGAGGGCGGGGCCACGCTAGTGGTTCCGGTTCGGCTCCAGCCGCCCCTCAGCTCCTTGCCTTGCCCCTCCCCTCCGCCTTCTCACCTCCCTCCCGCTCCTGGGAAAGAGAGAAACCACTGCTGCGGGTGGGTAGAGAAGCACTCGGCGCCTTGGGGAGGGAACCGCGCCCGCCTCTTTTGCGCCTTGCAGCACTGCTGGACCAGGTACCTGCGCCGGCTTCGACGGGGTCCTGTAGGCTGAAGTCTGAGGATGTGTGTGTGTGTGCCTGAGGGGGTTGGTGGGGGGCCCTTCCCTGGATGTGGGTGGGGGACGCCGGGATCCCGGGTGGGGCGCAGGGTGGCGTTTGTGTCTGTGGAGGGTTGCGGGGGCGGAATTGAGGGGCTGAGGGACACAGCGGGTGGAGAGTTTCGTTTGGCGGGGTAGAGGCAGGCGGAGGAGGCGCCCCTTCCGAGAAAGCCGACTTCGGCCGGTGTGGACCGGGAGTTTGCCACCTGGAGGGCTTGCTCCGAAAGGGGGAGCATCCTCCGGGGGCCAAAAGGAGGGCACAGATCTCGGCAGGGTGGCTGGGACAATCCCATGTTTCCACTGCCCTGTTTCCCTATCCGCCCTGCTGGGACAGAGATGGACTTCGAGGGTTGCGGGGGTTCTGAGTGGGCTGGGCACCGCGGGGAGCCGCCCTTGGCAGAGCTAGGGCAGAAGAGTGGGTAATGAGACCTCCCTCCACCCAACTTCCGTGCGCTTCCCCCACTTCTTCCTTTACTGTTCCCTCGCCCCCACGTCCTATAGAAGCAATGTCCCCCCACTGGGCAGGCATCACAGTGTAAAAAGAGGGTGGAACTAGGTTTGTTGCCCCTAAATGATACTTCAGATGTTTGGAAAGTGTTTGAATGACATATTCAACCAAGTCTCCCAGCTCGATATTAAATCCGGTATAAATTATCTTAGAAAAGTGGGATTCTCAAAAGCCCTTAACAATAGGCTAGTCCAGGTATAGCCTTGTGTAGTAGTTGTACGTGTTTATTTTTTTAAAATGCACTGGGGAAACCATATAGATGTATTAGAGGTCTAGGCAAGACATGTTGAGGCAAGACTTTTCCAACCTCTTTCTTACCTGCCAGTAACTGCCCTAGTTTAAATGAAGTAGAAAGATCTTCTTCGCTTATGTTTCAATCAGTGACTGAATACTCGGTGCTGTGTAGTGATGTCTCAGAATAGATAGGTGAATTTTCAGAGAGAGAACGAACTCTGCTGTGGAGCCTGTGTCTTAATCTTTTAAGGAGATAATTGTGGCCAAGAGGAAGTATTGGTTTTCAGGCAGATAAATCTTGGGTTGAACCTAGACTATGCTAGTTGCTAGTTATTGACCTTGGGCAAGTCATGGAACCTACCAGAGCTGCTGTTTCTTCCTAAGTAATATCAGTTAAAATTCTTACCTGTATTATAAGTAACAGCCCATTTTAAACGGAACCACCTTTGGATTACAAGGTAAATTGTTATTAATCATACACAGTAAAGGAAGCCCTGTTTTGTGAAAGAAGTTTGAGATGGGAAGGCAACTGGATAATATTTTTAAAAATATGTATACAACAGGACTTTCAGTGTCTTCTTGAAATTGATCATAAGTAGCATGAAATTCAATTATCAGTAGTTTCATAAAATTCAAAATAATAAAGTAGAATATGACCAAAATATATTTTATAGGTTTTTCTCAGATACACCATATTGGTGTTTATAATATGGATTAACATGAAATACATGTAAAAAGTATTGTATGTAAATCTTAACATCACATGTCTCTTTAAAGTTAAAATTGGGGTGTAAAATAGAAAGTACTTGTAATTTTAAGATAAAAATCAGCATCTCTGGTTTCTCTTCATAATGAATAAATCTTTCACCTTTTAATAAAGATGTCCGTGGTGAGGAACAATTACGAATTTTTAACCGAATTTTTTGATGTCCTGCTTAGTCAGGGCTCATTAAAAAAATAAAAGAGCCTGGCGCGGTGGCTCACACTTGTAATCCTAGCACTTTGGGAGGCCGAGGCAGGCAGATCACGAGGTCAAGAGATCGAGACCATCCTGGCCAACATGGTGAAACCCTGTCTCTACTTAAATACGAAAAAATTAGCTGAGCATGGTGGCTCACACCTGTAGTCCCAGCTACTCCGGAGGCTGAGGCAGGAGAATTACTTGAATGGGAGAGTGGAGGTTGCAGTGAGCTGAGTTGCGTGGCAACAGAGCTAGACTCTTTGTCCAAAAAAAAAAATAATAAAATTAAATAAAAAATAAAATAATAAAATAAAAATAAATCAGCATCAGCAGCACCTCTTGTCTCAATTAGATTTACACTACTAGGTAAACTTATATAATATTCAGAAAATAAGTGAAAATATAATCAATTTCTGACTTTAAATCATTCCTTATTAGAATATGGAAATCCAAGATAACATGAAGGCTGTTTTTTTATTTTTTATTTATTTTTAGCAACAGGTCTTTCTCTGTCACTTGGGCCAAAATAGTACACTGGGGCAGTATACTCACTGCAGCCTCAAACTCCTGGGCTTAAGCAATCCTGCATCAACCTCCCAGAGTGTTGAGATTACAGGTGTGAGCTACCTCACCCAGCCCGTGAAGTCTTTATGTTCATTCGTTTTGTGGATTTAATATGATATAGTTATGTGTAATCTATTATATGTCAGATTTGCAGCAAACATAGTTTGTTTTTTGAGGCGACTTGTATTAGTAATTTTCAAATGTAACTGATACTCAGAGGACAAAAATCGAATAACTTGCTTTAATAATAGGTGTTTATGAGAATACAAAGATTGTAATTCAGTGTGAACTTTTTTGAGAAGTTTATAGATTTTGCGTAAAGAAATTTCTTTTTTTTTAAAGACAGATTCTTGCTCTGTCACTCAGGCTGGAGTGCAGTGGCCTGATCTCTGCTCACTGCAACCTCCGCCCCCTAAGCTCAAACAATTCTCCCACCTCAGCCTCCTGAGTAGCTGGGACTACAGAGGTGTGCTACCACGTCTGCCTAATTTTTGTATTTTTAGTAGAGAAGGAGTTTCACCATGTTGGCTAGTCAGGTCTCAGACTCCCGACCTCAAGTCATCCACCCTGCTTGGGCTCCCAAAGTGCTGGGAAAGCCGTGAGCCCCCACACCTGGCCCTGAAAAATTTTCAAATATATTTTTTCCCCATGTCTCTTTCTTTTATAAAGAGTTGAAATTATGTTTTGTGACAGTTACAGATTTTTGGTAAGGTCATTCAGCTTTCTGAATGGCTCTTCTGAGAGTGTAAGGTATGTATATATCTAAGCTTTTTGCTGTGCTTTCTTTTTGTCTATTTCTATTTTTGAGATGGAGTCTTGTTCTGTTACCCAGCCTCGAACAGTAGCACGATCTTGGCTCACTGCAACCTCCACCTTCCGGGTTTAAGCGATTCTCTTGCCTCAGCCCCCTGAATAGCTGGGACTACAGGCATGTGCCACCACTACCGGCTGATTTTTGTATTTTTAGTAGAGATGGGGTTCACCATGTTGGCCAGACTGCTCTTGAAATTGTGACCTCAGGTGACCCACCCACCTTGACCTCTCAAAGTGCTGGAATTACAGCTGTGAGCCACTGTGTTTTCTTGTATCATTTTTCATCATCCTTCAAATCTTAAAGTTGAGATTATATTGTCTTGCTTTGGTAAAGCTATCAGAAACTCCCACTTCCCCCCCATCTTCTTATCAAATTTTAATAACCTATTAATATTTTAAAAAATCTTTTTTGTTTTTGAGGTGGAATCTCGCTCTGTTGCTCAGGCTGGAGTGCAGTGGTACGATACCAGCATACTGCAACCTCCGCCTCTCAGGCTCAATAGATCTTCCTACCTCAGTCTCCTGATTAGTTGGGATTACAGGTGTGTGCCACCATACTCAGCTAATTTTTGTATTCTTAGTGGAGATGGGGTTTTGCCATGTTGGCCACACTGGTTTCGAACTCCTAGTGGCCTCAAGTGATCCGCCCACCTTAGCCTCCCAAAGTGCGGGGACTACAAGCATGAGCCACCATACCTGGACCAATAGTGTATTAATTTTGATATGAGAGATGGGATACTAGCTGCTAGAGTAAAAAATTCTGGTTGTGTGCAGTGAATAGAGGCTTCTAGAGATTTCTCAATGACCGCTTCCTCTCAAAGTCTGTGGCCATTCCAAAGATCTTTGCAGTTGTCAGTTATGGAATTTATCAGGAAATCTAAAAATGACTAAACCTTGTTTAATATCCACCTCTTGGATGACCTCAGAAAGTGTTAGGAAAGATTGGGAAGCTTTATATATGTACCATATACTAGAATTAAATAATGAACAAAATACAGTTAAATTTATTGGTGCCATAAAATCAGGAGTGAGTTACTGTGAAAATGTTTTTAAAAAGTCCATGCAGTGCTTTATTTTTATTCAAACCAAATGAGTATTCTTCCAGAGCTTATTTTTATTTTAAAGAATATTTCTTTTATGGAGCTGTGATTTAGTCTCTAATAAGGCTAAATGAGCATTATATGAAGAAAAAGGCTGATGTCATAGATTTTAATACTACATATCGATAGAAACTGCTTCAGTGGTTTTAGATAAGTGTATTTTCCTGAAAGAACTTTTGAATTTGTGGAATGATAGTTTTTCTCTTTTTAACGCCTAACTTGTTTCTACTCATTTCTGCCTAATATAGAAGCTCTGAGAAGCTGGGAGGAAAAAAAAAGAATGAATTTACTTCAGAATTACCATTTTAAGTTTTGGAGATTACTAATTTGGAGACCAAAATTGGATTTTGACATTATTGGGATTGTGTTCAAGATGGACTCAGGAAAAAAAATTTAGATGCCATCTGTTTCAAATTCCTTTTCTCCCAACCTCTTCTATGTTTTATGGCTTTGAGTTCATCAGATTATTTTATCAAAATAAAAATCCTCAGTAGATTTAGGTTATGTAATATCAGCTCTGCCAGTGAACATGTAACCAAAGATCCTACATTTTTATATTGAGTTATAGAGGATGTTGACAGATACTGTTTAAAGTTAATTGTTATTTCAAACTGTATGAATGTTTGGTAGCTTTATGTATTTTTTTTTTTTTTGAGACGGAGTTTCACTCATGTTACCCAGGCTGGAGTGCAATGGCGCGATCTCTGCTCACCGCAACCTCTGCCTCCTGGGTTCAGG